GCAAAGAGGATGGATCAAGAAAGGCTTCCACAGTAGAAGCTGCACAGTATACTGGAAATACATCTGAACAAAATGCATACTTTCGACAAAAAAGGCTCGGTATCAAAAGGAGGACTTCAGGTTACTCCCCTTCTGCTACACTAATCTTTAATAAGCTAAGTTTACAAACAAGTTACCTTGCACAAACTGCATTTTGAGTTAGAGTTTATGATTATCCATACAAGCACTATCTTTGTAAGAATCCCCACTGTTTCCACTTCTATATTCACATTTCGATTTATATCAAAATGTGAGGATACTACTTTTACTCTAGGTAAGTCAAGCATGCTTTTAACAAAATAGCAACGTGGTGCTATATTTTGCTTTCTGAACTTAGTTTCTATGCCTTCCTGCCAAACTACAAACAAACTAACTGTATCTCTGCTAACAACTCCTTCTGACTGACAGAAAAAAGGCACCAGCTGCTCCCTGCTCACAGTCCAGGCTCCAGGAGCCTTCCACTGGCACAAGCACCAGTTTCCTTGGACTCACCCATCTCTTTCTTCTTTCCATTGCTCCATTTAAAATACAAACGTTCTCTCTGTCCACTACAGCAGTCCACCTCCTTTCCAGCACATTTACAGATCTCTTTCCCAACTGACTATCCGTAGCTTCACAACACTTCATTTGATTTAGTTTTTAACCAACTCTTTCCTACTGCCACTTGTAATGGGTATGGCAAAACCATAATCTGTTCTCCTTTTGTATTTTGTGTAAACCATTTTTACAGCAGTTTATGTTTGCTCACCTCCTAATTCTCTAGGTATTCTACCAGATGTTGTAACTACAATGTGTTCATACTATTTTGCCTTTTTATTGTGCTGTAAAGTAATACTAACACAACTGTTCTATCCAAAATTCAATTTATCCAGAAAAGTAGTCATTCACTGCAACCGACCTTTTGCACAAAGATCTTTAAATTAACACCATTCCATAATTAAAAAATAGATTAAATGAGCAAGATTGTCAATTTATATTAAATACTACTTACAGTAAAAACAAAAGAGAAAGAATACCACCTATAAAGTACAAGGGCATCTTCTATAAATCAGTGATTATTATCAGTGCTGACATTAATGGCATTTTAACAGAGCGGCATGGCAAATCAGAATTTATATTGAAGACTGTTAAAGCAGAAAGTACTACCTGATGAAATCTTTGCCTTTTAGTGAACCAGCTACCACATACCACAATGTAGGAGCAACAGCTAAGTTATACTAGGAGATAAAAACACAAGAGAAAAGCAAACTCACCATTTGTCAGTCTATCAAAAAGAAAGATATCAAAATTCCAGTTTCCAACCTTCTCCAACATACACTGAAAGAAAACACAATAGTTTTAATTCTTTTTCCCCTTAGTGTGTGGCTATCTTCCTATAGGCCAGAGGAGTATTTAAGCTTTTAAGGACTTGCATCGGTCTCTGAATTTCTACACACAAAAACAGTACTGTAAATATTCAATTTGTCTGAAAATTGGGAAACTTTGAAATATAGGCTACAAATTAAAAGACTGAAATTTGAGAAGCATCTCAACAGTAAAATTTGAGACTTCCCCTTCATCCTCTAATCATTTTCATAAAAGTAGTATGACAATTTAAGACAATTAGGTTAGAAGCAGAAGCAGCATGACAAAATAACTGTTCAAACTTAGAAAATAAAATTGAGACACCTTAAGAGGCCCACGCTTGACATTTCATGCAATCATCTTAACAAATGTATTGATCACAAAACTCTGTCAGATGACTTCCAACCTTCTGTCACAAGATCTCTTCCAGATCTTCCACTTCAATTTTTGCGACAAAGTAATAATCTGCAAGTAGTCCTTTAATTTCTCACTTTCCCTTTTTGTTTAAATGGGGAAAATACTACCTAGATGTCTTCGTAAGAAAGTAAGAAAAGCTTATAATTTCTCCATTAGAAACCATCTTGTCACTTTACACTGGACTACCACTTCACAGCTGCTATACATGCTTTCATGAACACAGATGGACACTAACCCGGCACTTTCAAGGCCTCAGTTTAGGTCACCACCTTTTCTACTCCTACCTCCATTAGAATTACCTGCCCAGCATGTCTTACAGTGGATACTTGCTTTCTCAGACTCTCATTAAATCTGTAGTTGTGATCCTGGTACTACATGCTAGGTTTTCTCTACCAACCACTAAAACTGAGTTACCAGAAGAAATACACAACATTAACAAGATCTTTCTGCTGTCGAATTACATGTGTATTCTTCAAATCTGTCCTTAAGGTTATCAGATTCTTCCTACACTGTAGCCTGACCCCATTCAGTATCAGCACACTGTATTACGAGGATATTCCTTTTGTGCATAAAAGTTATTAACAAAAAGCATTATATACAATCAGTAGCAAGACACAGCCTTTGGGCTCTTAACAACCTATGAACTTTTTCTACTCCTTCCCTGTCAGCACTACATCTCTCCTGTTTCCAAATTCACTAGCCCTTCGTCCAGCTAACAATTTACTATCGCCTGTCTTAACAGTTTGCTCTAGTGTAGCTCAAGTATGTTACAGCTATCACACTTTTCTAGAAGAATTGCATACACAAACATCATTTTGGCATAATCTTCTGACAAATTAATGCATTCTGTTGCGCTTTCAGTAGTAGCTAGTCACTCCTCCAGATGTTCACTAATGAAATTAGATTAAAAGGAAAAGGAGAGAGAGAGTAAGAGGTAGTCCAAATTGCTCTACCCCATTTGCTAAATACAGTTACCATTTCTTTTCTTCACTTTTTCTTTAACTATCACAGCGCAGCCTTTATTTGCCATTCAAAAAACTGCAAGCCACAAAAGTATATAAGCTTTAAAAATTATCCCACTAAGCTTGGAAGAGGTTTGTCAGAAGCCACATTTTATAAAGCTATACCCAGATAAATGCACACATACATACACATATGAAAATACATGCTTAAAACTCACATTTACTTGCACTGCCTCTTAACAAAAGATATTTATATGTGAGTAAACATAAAGAAGCATACTTGATAAAACGGAGATAAAAATTAAATTAAGCAACCAACCTTTGCTTGTCCATTATAATCATCATCTAAAATGTTTGAAGAATTTGGAACAGTGATACCACGGAAAAAACGGGAAGATCTCAGGTAGCGCTGGAAACTAAGCAACCTTCTCACATTTCTCGCAGACACAGACACCTCAATTTCAGAATTTGCTATAAGAAAAGACAAGAGAATAAATACTGTCTCTGAAAAACCTTTACTAAAAGGAGACTGCTCGAGGAAGGTTGGTACGACTGCACTGCTTCTTTTGTTGGCATAGCAAATGTTTCAGCCACAATTAAAGATCACCATGAAGAGTGAGTGCAGAAACATGGCTTGGAAAAGGAAGTTTTCTATTTCAACACCCTGTGAAGGAAAACAAATATTTAAATCATTGTCGAGATGCATCTTCCTAAGGAACACTGCTACAGCTAGGACAGAAATGTTAGGGAAATTGGGTAAAGACACAAACAGTATTGCAAGTAATTCCTTCTGGGAAACCTTTGCCACATATTCATATACCCAGTTCCCATCCGTAGCAAATCACACACAAATAAGTAACCAGTAAGGGAATAACAGTGTACTGATTAAGTATTTAAAACGAGCATTATAAATAACTGTACACACGTATTAAAGCTCCAGAGGTTTTCTTAGATTTTCTGATAGAGTTTTAAAAAACAGTTGAATGATGCAGGTAATTTTACTCAGTCGCTCTTCTGCCAGTAAAACTATCACATTTATTTTTACTGCATGCTTTCTCAGCAATATCACTATAGAATACGTATGTTTGTAGCTTGTTTTCAAAGCACAATCCACATGATTTGTTTAATTTTTATTATGCTAACCACTTTAGCTATCCAGAGGACATATGCTAGCTTGTACTCAATTTCACTCACAGACTCATAGAATCACAGGGTTGGAAGGACCTCAAGAATCATGAATCTCCAACCCCCCTGCCACACACAGGGCCACCAACCTCCACATTTAATACCAGACCAGGCTGCCCAGGGCCCCATCCAACCTGGCTTTGAACACCTCCAGGGACGGGGCATCCACAACCTCTCTGTTCCAGCACCTCACCACTCTCTCTGTAAAGAATTTCCCCTTGACATCCAACCTAAATCTTCCCTCCCTCAAATTAAAACCATTTCCCCTTGTCCTGCAGTTATCAACCCTTTCAAAGAGTTGATTCCCCTCCTGTTTGTAGGCTCCCTTCAGGTACTGAAAGGCTGCAATGAGGTCACCCCGCAAGCTTCTCTTCTCCAGGCTGAACAAGCCCAGCTCCCTCAGCCTCCAGTCCCCTGATCATCTTCGTGGCTCTCCTCTGGACCCTCTCCAACAGCTCCCTGTCTTTTTTTGTACTGCGTGCTCCACACTTGGATGCATTATTCCAGACAGGGCCTCACCAAAGCAGAAAAGAGGGGGACAATCACCTCCCTGTCCCTGCTGGCTACCCCACTTCTGATGGAGCCCAGGATATCATTTGCCTTCTGAGCCACAAGGGCACTACTGGCTCATGTTAAATTTTTCATCTATCAAGACCCCCAGGTTCTTCTCCGCAGGGCTGCTCTCAAGGAGCTTCCAGTCTGTATGGATGCCTGGGATTCCTCCGGCCCAAGTGCAAAACTCTGCACTTTGCCATGTTGAACCTCATCAGGTTCACCCAGGCCCACTTTTCTAGCCTCTCGAGGTCCCTCTGCATGGCATCCCTTCCTTCCACCATGCCAGCCGCACTGCTCAGCTTGGTGTCGTCAGCAAACTCACTGAGGGTGCACTCGATTCCATTCTCAATGTCATTGATAAAGATGTTAAAGAGCACCGGTCCCAACACAGATCCCTGGGGGACACCGCTCATTACTGGCCTCCACCTGGTCTTAGAGCCATTGATGACAACCCTCTGTCTGTGGCCTTTCAACCAGTTTCTTATCCACTGAGTGGCCCACTCATCAAATTCATGTTCCTCCAATTTGGAGATAAGGATGTGGTGGGGGACCATGTCAAAGGCCTTGCTTAAGTCCAGGTAAATGACCAGTTGCTTTTCCCTTGTCCACTCCATCATAGAAGGCCACCAAATTGGTCAAGCATGACTTTCCCCTGGTGAAGCCATGCTGGCTGTCTCGGATCACACGCTCATTCCTCATGTGATCAAGCATGTTCCATCTGTTCCATGATCTTCCCAGGCACAGAGGTGAGACTCACCAGCCTGTAGTTCCCCAGGTCCTCTTTGCTCTTTCTTGTAAATGGCAGTGACTTGATCCTTCCTCCAGTCATCCAGGACTCACCTGACAGCTACAACTTTTCAAATATGATGAAGAGCAGCTCGGCAACCACCTCAGCCAGCTCCTTCAGAACCCTGGGACGCACGCTATCCAGCCCCACAGACTTGTACACATTCAGTCTCATGAGGCGGTCTTGGACCTGCTCTGTCCTCACTGCACTGGGGGATTCACCATCCAGTTTCCACCTAGAGGTATAGGGATGCAGGGCTCAGGGATGTGAGAAGTACTGGAATCCTGGCTACCAGTGAAGACCGAGGCAAAGAACTCATTTAGTACCTCAGCCTTCTCTTCAACCATTGAAGCAAGTTTTCCTTTTACATTTACCAAAGGAGGTACACTCGCTTTGGCCTGTGCTGTAGAAAGTATGGCCAATGTACCTGTAGAAAGTCTTCCTATTGTTTTTCACATTCCTCACCAAGTTCACTTCCGCCTGCGCCTTGGCTTTCCTGATCCAAAGGATCCATCTGTTTGTTTCAGAAACCTGAAGACTAAAGTACACACAGCTAGTTTCTTTCCAACACTCCCGATATCTTCAGCCTGAAGCATTAAAGGCCAACTTCACTTTCCTTTATTTTCTTTTCAGCATTACAGTTCAACATTACAACAGTTTCATACAACCAACAGAGTCAATGACGTTGACACTCTTTCACTTTGCCCAAAAAGATTAAAAAGAAAGAAAAAACATATTAAGACAAAGTAAAAGCAAAAACTCTTTTCCAAAAGTACAGACTCTGAAAACCAAGATGAGCCAAACGTGCATAGCACAGGCGCCTTGCCATTCCACAAAGGAGACACACTAGACATCAGTGAAATAAATAGCTGCAATATTTGTTCTAAAAGCCAGACTAAAATATGCTACAGGCAAAGGCACAGACTTATTAACAATCTAAATTAAAAGTCTCAGTGACGTCTAGTGAGAATAGTTTGATTCTATGCAAAATAAAGCTTTACTCATAATAATGGTTCTCTGCAGTAGCTATAATGTCTTTTCTGCCCTACCTTTACTCATTAATATATTTATTTCTAGTCTACCATAACAAAACATGGGAACAATTAGACTAACAGCACACTAACAGTATCTAAAGTACAGTAGCATTTTGCATCAGCAATCCTCATTAACAGCAATTGAAAGAACAAAACTGGTACAGTCTTTCAGACCTCCCTGAAAAGCATCAGGATACCAAAATTCCCATCACTTTCAAGGAGCTAAAGCAGACAACTTCACATGAAATATTTTCCTCTAAGTCATCACAATTAAGGTCAAGGACATTTCCTCCAAAGAGGCTGATACATGTATATCTTGGTTATGTAAGCAGGTGTACTACATACAAGAAAAGTTTCTTATAAAACAACATTCTTACATACAGCAAACAGATAAATGTATACTGTATTATCAGTATTTATAAGACAGCTTGTTAATGTCAGGGTACAGTCTGAGACACTGTCAGTCCTGCAGAATACAGAAGCTCCTGCTTACAGAGATTAAGCTTTGACGATCATCTCTTTCAATCTTGATTGACTCAAAACCCAAATTTCAGACCTGAGGTCATCAGGCTTGAAATAAAATAATAGGAAATAATTATCCTTAGGTCATAAACATATCTAAAATGTCCACAAATCCATATGTACAAAGTCAAGGAACTTAACTAAATCTGAGTAAAACAAAGCATCGCCAATAATGGAAATCAGTGCTCTTCAGAGGAAGTAGTTTTCTTGATCATAAGTAGTCCTTTACAGTTCTGGAGTTAACAAAAAGCTACTTTTGATGTCACGCTACAAATAACCATCACTAATGCCACTTATTAGTCTTTGGTAGAACAGCACACAGTAGGTGTGAAACAAAAAAGCAGAAATAAAACAAAGCATGATCATTCAACTGTGCCTGCCTAGATTCCACCTACTTTGAAGTCATTTGAGGAGTTTTGCACACATTTGTTTTAATGTTTTTCCTCGTAACGTGGGTCCAGAGGCAAATTTTTCAAAGGAAACGCAGTTTCCTGTGAAGCTGAACATTCATGACTTTTTAGAATATGCTATTGAAATTAAACTTAAAAATAATCTGAATTATCACATTTGCATAGCTCATACACAACCACCCTTACACATTAATCCTACTTTTTTCTTCCTTTCCCTAAATAAGAGGGAGAAGATTTCAGCTTCCAACCATCTTATGGTTCTGTAAAGCACAGCTTCAGCTGATGTAATTCAAGCAAGCTACAACAAATCCAACTTCATTTGAGCTTTCTGAGCAGAAATAGCCAAGATTGGAAGGGGCTTCTGGGTCCATCTGGCCCAACCCCTGCTCAAACAAGGACACCAGAGCATCCTGCTGAGGACCACAGCCACATAGCTTCAGATTATCTCCAAGGAGGAGACTCCACAGCCTCTTGGTAACCTGTGCCAGTGCTCCATCACCCACCTCAGTAACAAAGCACTTCCCTGACGGCAAGAAGGAATCTCTGTGGGAAACTTCCAGTTTGTGTCCATTGCCTACTTTCCCACCACTGGACACCACTGTAAAGACTGATGATGTCTGTCCCCCTACAATCCTCTCCTGCAGGGTGAAAGCTTCCAAGCTCTCTCACAGGAAAGGTGTTTCCTTCACAGGAGAGGTGCTCCATTCCCTTTACCATCTCAGGTGCTACTCACTGGACTCTTTCCATTATGTCCAGCTGTCTCTTGTACTGGAGAGCCCAGAACTGAAAATACAGCTCCAGGTGTGACTTTACTGGTGCTAATACAGGGGAAGGGCCACATGCCTTGAGCTGCTAGCAATACTGCACCTAATGCAGTCCAGGATATTATTAACCTTCTTAGCGGCAAGGAAGCACTGCTGGTTTGCACTCAACTTGGTGCTCATTAGGACACCCAAGGCCTTCTTGATCAGGCTAATT